GCCGCGGTGACTCGGGCTGGGGGGGTGGGACTGGTGGCTGGAGCGCAGCCTGCGGTCCAAAGGGTATGGGAACTGACACGGCTCGTTTTGTCAGCCCCGAGGCGGCACGCCGCGCTCGGCTCAGCTGCCCTGGCTGGGAGAAGAGCTCGGGAGTTTTCTGTAGCACCAGTTCCAAGGGGCAGCACTCCCAAGCATCAGTAATTCAAACAACAGTCGAGATAACGCCGTGTCCTCGTGCTGGGTGGGTCAGTTCGGTTTGAAACCAGTAACGTTCCTGAGCTTGAAATGCTTGGGTTCGGCAGGGCTTTCATTCCTAACCCGGCGCTGGTGTGGTGCGGGAGGGGAGGATGCGGGTGCCAGCCCGGGAGCGCGGGCAGGGACCGGCGGGTCCTGCCGGGGTGCCGGTCGGTCGGGGGGCAGAGCCGGGCAGATCTCCCCCCTCCTCATTGCCATGCTCCCTGTGTCCGCCTGGCAGGCGAGGTTGGGGAAGGGGCTGGGAGTGCTTATTGTCGTGGGGTTGTTTATGGACACATAGATCCTGCAGCCTGCCAGGCCGGGCCGGGGCGAGGGGAGGCTATGGGCTGGCTGGAGAATCTCCAGCTGCAGGAAGAAGTCATCCATTTCCAAGCCCGTGGCATCTTCCTTTGGGCATGCAAACAAAGTATATACCCAGCAGCAATTAGGAGTGCTGAGGTACTCCTATTTCAAAATCCTGGAGAGCCTCTGCTTTGATTTCCCTTAATACCACCTGGGCTGCGCAGCAGCAAACACCGTCCGAACCATGGCAGGGAGCATGTCCTGGCTCTGCCTGCTCTCTCAAGTGTAGTCCTTCTGCGCTTTGTTAATGGGGAAGATGCGTTTTTTGGAAACAGAGGCTGCCTCTAGGACTTGCAAACTATTTTATGACAGTTTTCATTTGCATAATGAAGGCCCTGATACCTTCAGTAATTAATCACATTAAGAATTGCTTCCTTGAATAACTCTATTCATGCAAGTTGTTCTTAGTGCTGGAAACTGCATATGATTTCCAATGTGCATTAGCCCATCTCTTTCATCAGCAGATGGAAGCTGGTAACTGCATGTGTAATTTATATCTGCTTGGGTGGAATTATCAGATGAAATATGCATTACACGGCACCATTAACATTTCTAGTCATACAGTCTTTCGCTCTTGGGTAAGTTAATATTACATACCAACAGTGTGTAGGACCATATAAAAGGCAAGGACTCGAACATGGGGATTTAAAAGCAGAAATGGAAAGTGTTCTAGGTCAGACACATCAGAAATAGAATTAATGAAGCTGCTAAATTAAATGAGATGCATTGCCCTTTTTTGACCTGCATGTTTTTATAAAATGTCCCATCTTGTCTCCGTAGCTAAGAAAGCTTCCAGGCTCGCCTGCCGAATCGCCACTTGTAAGAGCAACTCCAGATCCTTTAACATCCGGAAAGCTTTCCCCCATAGGATAGCACAAGCAGCAGGAAAATAACGATTGAATCTCAGGAGGCAGCAGAGAAGATGAGCACTGCTGTGTGGGTTTGGATTTGTCAGTAACCTTGACAAATTCTGAAAAAAAAAAAAAATAAAATCACATCAATTCAATAGTAAGAAAACAAAAAATCAGTGACTAGACTTTGCTCTCTGACGACAGTGCCAGGTCAGCCAGGAGCCTAGTGCTCAGATGGATGTTGGTTTATGTGTGAACATTTTTATAAGAGATAAAGTCTGCTATCTCAGAGTGCATTTTCACATGTGCCTTTTTGTCCTTATATAAATCACAGTTAATTAAAATACTGATTCCTGCTTGATAGGAAGCAATTAAAAGCCCGAAGCTGTATCCCATCTGCCTCTTCTGTGTAGAGATGGAGAGAGAGTCCAATCCAAGCTGGTGCGGCGTGGGCTGGCGGGGCTTTCGCCCAGCCCGGCTCTCGGGAGCACGGTGCTCTCGCCCAGCTGCTCCGCACGCTGAGTCGGGGCCAGGCCATCCTACGGCTCCTGCTGCTTGAGGGTTTTCACCCTTCAGAAAGGATTTTGAGGCCCGGTGAGTTTGAACTGTTTCCAGGCCAAGCTAATTCTGCCCGTGGCTGGGACGCTGGCAGCTCGGCGGTGGGGAGCGCGCCTCGGCCGTGCGCAGGTGCGAGGACGAGGGTGCAGCCCCACGGCACAAGCTGCAGCCGCCACGAGCTGCACGGGGCGAGCAGGGCAGGCAAACTCACCGGCCTCCTGCCCCGCTGACGCTGCTGTGGCAGAGGGTCACATCCTGAGCAGAGCCTGAGGATGCTGCCTGCAGATTGCGAGGGTGGAAAACTGCTTCAGGCGCCGTGTGTGGGGCATGCGTGCCGCTGGGGCAGGGGAGAGGCTCCGAGCTCTGCTCCCGCCTGCCCCGTGTGCCTCCCCCCAGCCCCGGCCATCCCAGCATGGCTCGGCGGCTCAGCACCGGCTGGATGGCTCTGCTCGGGGCCGAAGCCCTGTACCTGTCCCGAAGTCAGGCTGGGACGGTGCGGGGCGGTCGCTGACTGGAGTCCCCTGGGTTTGCAGAGACTTGCCATCACTCCTGGCAGCACCCGGAGCCGCGCTGGTGCTGCTCCCGATTGTTCATTTCTGTCCGAGAGAGAAAGAAAAAGCATCTCTGCAAAATCCAGACTTGGACTTTGCTTAAAGCCTTTGAGTAAAGAGCCTTGTTTGAATGTAATTGCACCCCTGTTGCTACAAGGGGAAAATACACTGTATTGCGCTCTCTTTCTTGGAAAGCTCAGCTAGTATTTTCCCAGCCATTTGTGTATAAAGAAAGATAAATAGCTCTTTAGCGGGCAGAACAATCTATCCCGGTTTTATTGACATTCATGCAAGCAGACAAGGAGAAACAGTTTGGCAGTGCTGAGCGTAGGGGAGGGGGAAGCTGCAGCCCGGCGGAGCGGGGAGCACCCGGCGAGGCTGGGGGTGCCGGGGCACCCGGGGGCTGCGCGGGCGGAGGGAGGGAGGGAGAAGCCCTCCCGGGTGCTGAGCCCGGCTGCCTGGCCCCGGCCCCACGGATGTGTGCATCTCCCGTGGGTCCCCCCAGTCTGCAGGAGGCCCTCGCCACCTCACTCATCATTTCACTCCTCCCTATAAATAAAAAACGCGTACAGCAAATTTAGCTCTGGCTTCACACACAATGGTGCTATAGATAGATTTTTAAAGAGCTTGTCTCAGAGTAATAATTCATGGGGAGATCAAAAGGCTATGGTTTAATCTGGGATCTGTCTGATACCATAAACCTTGCAGAGTATTACGAATTCAGTGAGCAGCATCAAAAGCCTGATAAACATGAAAGCCACCCAATTTTTTGCCTGTAAGGCTGGCGTGGCTTACAGCGGGTGCTGAGGAGCTGGAAAGATGCGTATCTCCTCTGCGGTGCTTGGGTGCCACACACAGAGTCCTCCAACTTCAGGCTCCTGAAAGAGGTGCCTGGACTCCCTTAACATCGCAGTTGCTACCTGCAGCCCCGCCGACTGTATAAAGAGATAAGATTTCTAATTACATGTCTAATTACACAGTGTAGGTAGGCTTCAGGCTGCGCTCCGCCGCTCGGCATCGCCTTGTCCTCCGTGGCTACGGATCACGCCGGCTGCGTTGATTCTCCGGCGCGATGTGGCGAGAGGCGTCCCCGGAGATGGGGGGAGGCTGGCGGTGGGGCAGAGGCACCCCCAGTCCCCGTCAGCCAGGCACGGCGTGCCCGGGAAGGCTCGGGGTGGCACGGTGCTCGCCAGCGAGGTGGCTGGCTGTCCTCGGAGGGGGCCGGGACACCGCAGAGGGGGGCTGCATCACCCTGGCCCCTTAGCAGGGAAAGCTTGCAAGCGGCTTCCGATTTGACAGACCGATGGCAGATAAAGCCAGAGCCCTGCACAGCCTGTGTTCTGGTAGTCGATACCCAAGAGCACGTGGAGAGAGCCAGGAGCCGTCGGGGAGCGAGGGCAGAGCAGGGGCAGGGCGGGGAGAGGCTCGGCCACGCTCGCACACATCCGCAGTGGTGTCCCCGTGATGTCCCCTCTGCCGAGTCCCAGCTCCATTACAGCACCTGTTAGGTTATTAAAAGAAGGGATTTGTAACCTCTGCTTTCCAGCTGTGGTAACCGTGCATTGAGCTAATCCAAAGGATTTATTTTTCAATAGCTGCACTGCCAGTAGTGGATGTGCTGATTTAAGTTGAGGAACTGGCCCAGGAAAGCTGGATTTCAGATCGGGACTGTGAAATACACGGGGTATCAAAATGCTGTATTTGGAAGCCAAAAATAGTGCCTAAAATGGGGCCAGTAAGGATCAGTGCTATAAACACAGGTCTGCAGCGTGGAAGGGCTCTGCCATGCTGCTAGCTGTCAGCAAAAGCAACATTTAAAAGCCGGCAGTTTAATTTTTCACACAAATGGAGGTGAGTTCAAGCTGCAGACACCTGCAGCTGAGGAGCTGGGTTTTTCTCCAGAGATACCGAGCCCACTGAGGTTAATGTGATTATGCAAATGACTGAGGTATAATTACATTACTGCCACCCATCTGGCCCTCCCTGCAATTCACGAGTGATTTTATATTCCCCACGCACTGCAGTGCTGACATACAAGGGCACTGGCGATGCCATAAATCACTGCTTGGTTTTTGCTGCAAGTCCCATCTCCCCATCCAGCCTCTGGTGCAGAGTCCTGCTGGGTGAGGCATGGCCAACGCATCAGGAAAGTTCTTCCCGGATCCGAATTAACAGTCTCTGGATGTAGTCCAGAGGATCAAGCTCCTCTTGTCCTCTCCCAAGGGACGCTCCTGACAAAGGCAGGATCCTGCCCGGCATCCCAGCTACGGCAGCAGGTCCTTCCCAACGTGGGTTTTCTTAGGATAAAACAAATTCCCACTTCCCTCAGCAGTTGGGATTAAACATAGAACTGTCATTTTCATGTAAAACACTAATACCACACACTGGCCCAAGTAGCCCCCAATACTACCTCTCTTCTAACCTGTGTTTTTCTTCCCATCAGTATGAATTCAAAGCCAAGAACATTAAGAAGAAGAAAGTGAGCATTATAGTGTCCGTGGATGGGGTGAAGGTGATTCTGCGCAAGAAGCAGAAGGTGAGACTTCTCCAGCCCAGCTGGGGCACTCGGGGCCAGAGCACCTGGGATGTTGGCTTTGACCATGTCTGGATATTGCTGCTGCGCAGGATAGCCGCACTTCTACCAAAACTGGCCTTTTCTTAAAAAACACCCAGAACTTTCACAAGAAAACACTCAATTTTTCATCAAACTACTAACAAAACCTTGCTGAAAAAAGAGTGGGAAAATTACACTGTGGGAAGAGTTGTTGTTTTTTTTTTTCTATCAAAAAATGTCAAGCTTTCAGGAAATAGAGTTTCATTTTCTTGTTAATACCCGTAGGCTTTTTCCGTGCTGCCTGGGCCGAGCGCCCCTCAGCTCTTCACCCAGGCTGTGCTTCCCACCGAGCCGAGCCAGCAGCTCGATCCAGATCTCCTAAGCCCTAGCTCAGTCTTCTTCCCCAGAACGTGATACTCTTCTGCATGTTTGATGCTGTAAATTAATCTTAGGGGCCATTTTCAGCCCTGAGGGCTGTGATCAGATGACCAGATGTGATAAATGATTGGATAAATCTATTTTTACTCAAGATACCGATGAAAGAGCCATTGCTCATACAGTCAAACTGTAGCCTGGACTTTGGCTTGGGACAAACGCACCATTCTCCAAACCCACGAGCGTGGTGGAGTTTCATTTTTACCTGACTCACTCTAATTTTGTTTCTCTGCTTACAGAGAAAGGAGTGGACCTGGGATGAGAGTAAGATGGTGGTGATGCACGATCCCGTGTACAGGTACGCGGCAGGGGATTTACACCAGCGAGGTCTAGTCAGTCCTGAGCGGTGCGTATCCACCCTCCCGCTTGCTGAGTTACCTCCACCATGGCTGGATTTCCAAAGGACCATGAAAAATTAACGAGGCTGCAAAACCACCACCCATGGGGGATCCTTTTCATGCACTTTTGAGAGTGAGATGGACTGATCTAGCTTTGAAGCTGGCTCTGCTTTGAACACAGGGTTAGACTAGATGTCCCCCTTCAACCCAAATTACTCCCGGGTTCCGACTCTGAAGACAGGCTTCCCGCGGTTGTCCTTCAGAGCATGGCTCACCGTGTGCTTCTGAAGAAGGGCCTTACTCCAAGGTGTAAGTGCTTGCAGGGAATTAACCCGTACAGGACATGGTAAGGTAGCTTTGACTTTCTGTGGGATCTCAAACCGTTTTGGAGAGCACAGGCCTCACCCAGAGGTTTGCGCCGCATGTAAACCCACGGCCTCAGGAGCCATCAGGGCTTTCTCGGAGGCACCCCCAGCAATGGTGCGTAGCCTGCAGACACGGGTAAAAGCAGAGGTTGCTCCAGGCTGTCAGAACTGCCAAGGGAGTAAGCGTACCGCGGGCGAGTGCGAAGCCCACAGCCCCAAGGGCTGGGATCACCAGCGCTGGTTTTCTGGGTCATCAGAGCCCTTGGTGAGGAGATAAGGAGCGGAGGGCGTGCTGACGCCCTATCCGTGCCTACCTCTCACTTCTGGCGTGCTTTAAAGGTTATTACGAGATGTGGTACATCAGCAATAATTGCTCCCATTGCAAGGTCAACGCGAAAAAATTCCAATGACAGAAAAGAATAAAGGAAAAAAAAAAAAACATTTCAAGGATCCCTTTGGTTTCTCCTCTATTCAGAACCGAACACGCTTGTCACGTTTTTACCCAGTTAAATCAAACATATAAAAAGGTCTTTAAAAATGGTTTTGCAGCACAGGGAAGAGAAAGAGTCTGAAGAGGAGAGAGAGAAATCCTCCGAGTGTGTTCAGCATCCCTGCGAGAGGCATCTAGGGGACACTGGCTTTTGTGCTGTGCCACCTGCCCACGGTGGGTCCCCGGGCTGGCAGCACCGAGGCGGGCAGGACGTGTGCTGTGCCGCGCTGCAGCCCGGGCAGGGATTAATTGCTGGGGCTAAAAATAGCCACATGCTTTCCAATACTATAGTTTTTTTCTTTAGCTTTCCCACAGCATCTTTAAAAACCTTTTGCCTACTTTAGAAAGCAGAAGGTTTTCCAGCAAGCCAGAAACACTCTACATCTGTCACCTCCTGCCTTGAAAATTGCAGGAGGGGCCGTGCACCAGCACTGCCTCGTTCCTTCAGCCCTGGGTGCTGTGAGCCAGCCTGTCCTGGGGACACACGGGAGCCACCGAGGTTGTCGGGAGCAGAGACTCCTCTTGGGGTTTAATTCCCTTTGTCTCTCTCCCCCCCTAGAATCTTCTACGTGTCGCACGACTCACAAGACCTGAAAATATTTAGTTACATCGCAAGGGACGGCGCTAACAACTCCTTCAGGTGCAACGTCTTCAAATCGAAGAAGAAGGTAGGATGCTCCCAGGGCTACGACTGGGTCATCCCTGGGTGAGGGGTCTCCGAGGGACCTCGCGCCTCCCCGTGCAGGGGGTGAAACCACTGCTGGGTCCGAGGGTGGAGATCCCCGGGGAGAGACCCGAGGCAGCGCCAGTGCTGGATGTCCCCCCAAAAACCGTGCCTGGTGCCTGTCCCCTCCTGCCCAGCCCGGGGAAGAGCAGCGCAGGGCAGGTGGAGATAAGAGCACCCAGTTCCACGAGTGGGGGGCCGGGGGGGGGCGTGCCGTGTGTCAGCTCCGGCAGGCAGAGGTGGCAGCGGGGGGTTGGGGGGGGGGGGAAGGCTCCCGGTTGTCCCCTGGGCGATGCGGCAGCGGGGCTGAGCGGCCGCCCCCGGGGTTTGCTCGGCAGAGCCAGGCGATGCGGGTGGTGCGCACGGTGGGACAGGCCTTCGAGGTGTGCCACAAGCTGAGCCTGCAGCACGCCCTGCAGAACGCCGACGGGCAGGCGGACGGCGCCAGCGACAAGTCGGCCGAGGAGCAGGCGTTGGAAGGTGACACGCAGCCCCCTCCCTGGGGACCGTGGGCGCACCCCCTCCCTCAGCAGTGGCACCGGGGACGCTTTGGGGTGGGGGACTGCGAGGCGGCATGGCCTTTGTGGGCCAGCTCTTGTGACAGTGAGAGCTTCGGGACCCTCCAGGTGGGGGGGGCACAGGGAATCCGCCCTGCCTGCCCACTCGCCCTGGGCACCAGGGAGGCAGAGGCTGAGCCCCCCTTGCCCAACAGGCACCAGCCCCCTCCTCCTGCCCCTCCGCAGCACGCCGAGACGTGAATCAAGCCCTGGCCTTGTCCCTGAGCTGGCGATCCCGCAGTGGCGGGGGTGGGGGGGTGGGCTTGGGTTTATTTATCCATCTCGTTTGAAGTTCATCAGATAAAGGGCTCCAAGATCACAGATGCAGACGAGGTTGGCATCGACTCTGACAGCGTCTGTGTGTCCGAGAGGGGACCCGGAGAGCTGCCCGCTGCCAGGGGGGACCTCGGCACGCTGAAACCTGGGCCAGCCTCAAAGGATAAGAACTGCCAGGTAACGGGGGGGACAGTCCACGTGCTCTGCCACTGCTGGGGTCCCTCTGCTCAGGGTCACTGTATCACAGCTTGGTTTGGAGGGGCTTTCACAGAGACCCCATTGCAGACACCACCACCCCCCCCCGCCCCATTCCTGGGCTCCCTGCTCTTGCGGCCCCCGTGGCAGGACAGGGTGCTCAGCACCCAGTTTACCCGCAGCTAAGCTGTGTGCTGGGGCAGGGGGAGAGGGGAGAGCTGGGTGCGGGGCCGCGGCGCATGGCTGAGCTGGCTTCAAACGCAGCCCGGGAGAGCCCGCCGGTGCGGGCAGGGCAGAGCACAGCACGGAGGGGCTCTGCTGGAGCGGTCACCCAGCCCGAAAAAGAGAAGCGGGGCAGGACCCCGCTGCTGCAGCAGCCTCCACGTAACAGCTTGGAAACTAAGAGGAGGCATCTCTGGCCAGGCGACCATTTCCCCGCCGCGCAGGGTGGATTTTTGTGCCGCTCTGCAGCGGTCGCTCATCTGCCTGCCCCAGCAGCAACCCCCCCACCACCACCACCACCACCAGCTCCCCTCGCCCCCCAGATCCAGGGAGCAGCATCCCCCGACAGCGCAGGCACCCAGGACGCGGGCGGCGGTTTCGCCGTAATGAATAGCTGCTCTGCAGAGCTCCTCTGTGAGCGCTTCCCGGCGGCCTGAATGGCATCGCTTCATCTCACACAATCGCATCGCTTGCAGGGCCTGGCCGAAAACAGCTGCGGTGAAAAGCGCTCGGTGGGATTCATTTCCGTGGCTGGAAAGGCAGGGCTTTCCTTCGGGGTGCTGGAGCTGCCCGGGCAGGGCAGAGGAAAGGCAGCCCTGCAAGGGGAACCATCCTAAAACATCCCCCCACTGCCAGGGTGGGAGGCTGGCTGCCCGGGGGTGGGGGGGACACACGCTGCCCGGCTCTGGGCTGTGTGCTGAGCACCCCCCCCCCCCAGGTGCTACAGAGGGCCAGGGGAGCCACGTGCGGGACTAGCACCCGGTCCCCAGGGCACGTGAGGTGGCTGCCAGCTCGCCCACCCTGGGCTGAACCGGCAGCCCCCGGGGCTCGGGGGGGGGGGGGGGGCTCATGGCTGGGTCAGGAGCTGCTCTGAAATCGGTGAGTGCGTGCACCGCCCTTCACACATGGGGTGTCCCCAAGGGCCAGGACCCCTGCAGACGGTGGCCCTGACGCTGGACTGCTGCTGCTGCCACTGGTGAACGCTTCAGGCAGCAAGAAACTGCCCAGCCTGGGCAGCCTCCTCCTGGAGAAGGTAGTGGGGTATTTGGGTCACTCCCTGCCATCCCCTCTCCGGGGACTCGCCCTCCCTGTTTGGAGCTACAGCCAGGCACAAGCAATGCAGAGTCGCCCCAAAACACGCTCTCCCGGGGGGTCCCACGAGACATGCAGAGCCTGACACCCAGCCCAGGGCTGCCCCCCCCCTCAACAGTCGCACGGTGCCAGTGGGGAACTGGGCCCAGCGCCGTGGGGAACCACCATCCACATCCCACCCTGAGCTGGTCGGGCTGCTCACCCTTCCCCTCTCTTTGCCCCCAGGATGCCGAGAACTGCTCCCTCCACCCAGCCAGCTCCCAGCAGCTCCTCAGCCCCAGCAGCCCCTGCTCCCCGGCCTCCATCACCCCGCTGGCCTCCCAGCACTGCCTCCAGCTGCTCCAGCAGCAGCTCCTCCAGCAGCAGCAGCAGACGCAGGTGGCCGTGGCCCAGGTACGCGTCCCCCCGGCCGGGCTGGCCCCGGGGGGGGGCAGGAGCCCCGTGCCGGGGTGGGAGCGGTGCGGGGGGGGGGGGGGGGGCTCGCAGCACGGCTCGCAGCGTTAGTCACTGGCAGCACGGCTCGCAGCACGGCTCGCAGCACGGCTCGGCTGCCCCAGGCGCGGAGCCGGCCGCACACGTAACCCCGGGCCGCTCCCGCAGGGCCACCAGCACCCGTCCCCTCCCCCGTGCCTCGTCCCCCCCAAACCGGCATCGCAGCCGGCAGCCCGGTGCCCCACCTGGCTGGGCGCCTCCCCAACTCGTTTTATGTTACCTGGGGGGGGGGGGGGGGGGGGAACAGTCACAGTTCCTATCCCGCCCCCCCCCCCGTCCCCCTCCCGATGCAGCCGCCTCCCGCCGCTGGACCGGAGCGGGGGGGCGCGGCGGGGCCGGCAGGGGGCGCTCGAGGGCCGCTGAGCCCGGGGCGGCCGCTCCCGTCCCCCCCCCATCGCTCCATCACCTCGTGTCCCCCCCATCACTCCATCACCTCGTGTCCCCCTCCCATCGCTCCATCACCTCGTGTCCCCCCCCATCGCTCCATCACCTTGTGTCCCCCCCAATCGCTCCATCACCTCGTGTCCCCCCATTGCTCCATCACCTCGTGTCCCCCCCCCATCGCTCCATCACCTCGTGTGTCCCCCATTGCTCCATCACCTCGCCCCCCCATCACATCATCTCCCCTATCTCCCCGTGTCCCCCATCACCCCATCCCGCATTGCCCTGTCCCCCCATCACATCGCCCCATCCCACATCTCATCACCTCCCTTATCTCCCCATTCCCCCGTCTCATCTCCCCCATCCCCCTGTCCCACATCACCCCATCGCATCTCCCCTATCTCCCCATTCCCCCACTGCCTCGTCTCCCCCATCACTCCATCCCACATCGCCCTGTCCCCCCCATCACCCCATGTCCTGCATCGCCCTGCCCCCCCACATCGCCCCATCCCCTATTGCCCCATCCCACATCGCTCTGTCCCCCCATCACATCATCTCCCCTATCTCCCCATTCCTCCATCTCCTCATTTCCCCCTTCACCCTGTCCCACATCACCCCGTCCCCCCACTGCATCTCCCCTATCTCCCCATTCCTCCATCTCCTCATTTCCCCCTTCACCCTGTCCCACATCACCCCGTCCCCCCACTGCATCTCCCCTATCTCCCCATTCCCCCATCGCCTCATCTCCCCCATCACTCCATCCCACATCACCCTGTCCTGCATCTCCCCGTCCCCCCCATCACCCCATCTCCTGCATCGCCCTGTCCCCCTGCATCACCCCATCCCCCCCATCGCCCCATTCCTCCATCTCCCCATCCCACATCGCCCCATGTCCCACATCACCCCATCCTCCTCCATCACCCCATCCTGTCCCCCCCCCATCGATCCCCCCCATCGGTCCCCCCCCAGGTGCAGCTGCTGAAGGACCAACTGGCGGCCGAAACGGCGGCGCGGATCGAAGCGCAGGCCCGGGTGCGGCAGCTCCTGCTGACCAACCGTGACCTGCTGCAACACGTCTCCCTGCTGGTGCGGCAGCTGACGGTGCTGGAAGCCCGGGAGCAGCACCGGCAGCCGGGTGAGCGCAGAGGCCCCCGCGCCGGGGGGAAGCCGAGGGGCAGTGGCTCCTCCACACCCCGCCTCACCCCGGGGCGGGGGTTGTTTGGGTGCTGGGGTGCTCCCAGCACCATCCCTCCAGACCATCCCTGTACCCCTCACAGTCCCAGGGAGCCGCTGGGATGCTCCCAGCGCCATTCCAGCAGGCCCTGTGGGGGTTTCGGAGCATCTCCGCACCCCTTGGGGTCCTGGGAAGCAATTGGGGCGCTCCCAGTAGCATCCCAATAGGCTCGGGGAGGGGGGGCGGATTTGGAGCATCTCTAACATCCCTTGCAGTCCCAGGGAGCGGCTGGGATGCTCCTAGCACCAGCCTGCCAGGTTCTGGTGGGGCTTTGGAGCATCCCTGCACCCTCCGGGGTCCTGGGAAGCAGTTGCAGTGCTCCCAGCACCCTCCCTTCAGAGCATCTCTGCACCCGTCGTGGTCCCCAGGACCAGCTGGGGCGCCCCCAGTAGCATCCCAGCAGGCTCTGGGAGGCTTTGGAGCATCTCCGCGCCCCTCGGGATCCAGGGGAGCAGCTGGGTTGGGGGTCCCCCAACTCCTCACGCGCCCTTCGTCCCTCTTCTTGCCAGCTGACCGCTCCTTGCAAAGCCTGTCCCTGGCTCAGTCCCTCTCCCTGAACCTGAAGAACCATTACAGCCTGGACGTCCACCTGCCCTCCACCTCCACCCCCGCCAGCATCCTGGGCAGCCCCGTGGCCCCCGGCTCGCTGCCAGCCCTGGGCCCCGGCGACTCCTACCTCAACCTCGTCAGCCTGGAGAGGGGCGGCCGCCGCTACGGCAGCAAGGACGGGGACGAGTGCCTGGCTGTGCTGGAGGGGCAGGACGGGCTCAGCCGGCGCGTGGAGGGCTCCGAGGTCAGCGAAGTCGCTCTGCCCAACGGGAGCGGCCGGCAGAAGGCGGACGACATGGACAGAGGGGACGAGGACAGGTAGGACGTGCCACCTCTTGTCTCCCGCCGGCTGGAGCTCAGGAACACCCTGAGCAGACCCTCCCGCTCCCCGCTGCCGCCCCGGCCACGTTTCGGAGGCCTCGCGGCAGCAGGGGCTGGGGAGGAAGGGCTGTGTTCTGGGCGCTCTAGAACAAGGACAGGTAGCCCAGGGGCTGCGCGCCCACTCAGGTGCAAGCAGCCAGGGCAAGGGACCCACCGCGTCCCCCCGTGGGGGTCGCTGCCTGCCCTGCTCCTGTCCCCCTGCCGCAAAACGGCCGTTGCCGTGTCGCTTCAGCCCAGCTCCATTTGTAGGCGATGGGTTGTGCTGTTTGGACCCAGCAAAGGTCTTTTGGAGGGCCTGGGGCAGCCAGCCCAAGCCCCCCCGTGCAGGTAAGTACTTGCCCGTCACCTCCTCTCTCTGCTCTCGCTTCCCAGGCGGCAGCAGCCCATTCCCAAGCTCAACCCGCCACCGCCCATCCTACGCAAAAGGTCGAGCAAAACCTCCCCGAGCCTGGAAGCGGAGGTGAAGCTCGAGAGCGCTGCCCACATGAGCCTGCCCAGCCCTGGCGTCTCCAGCCTCACCAGCATCGCCGCCAGCTCGCTCACCCTCTTGGACCCCGAGGCAAGGACTCCTGCACGGAGCGCTGCCTCCAGCACGGAGCCCGTCCCTGCCGGGACCTGCCAGCGCGCTCTGGGCAAGGACTGGACTGGGGAGAGCGGGCACGTGTCCCCCCTGGCCAGCATCCGCGACCTGGCCGCCAGCGAGGCCACAGCCAAGGACTTGGCCGCCCTGGCCGGCCCCACGGACAGCACGCTGCCCTTCTCCCCCGCGGACGATACCTGCTTGCACATCAGCTTCTCCGAAGATGAACTACTTGAACCAGAGCTGGACACCTCCCTGGGACCCAGCAGGGTCCCCTCTTAGTGGGACTGCGGCAGGTGGCAGCTGGCTGGCAGGCAGTGCCAGCAGCTCCATCCACCAGCCCGTGCTGGGGTTGGGGGCCCAGGCTGGGAGGCAAGTCCCTTCGCTGTCGCCACCCCACGGAGCAGCTCCCCCCACCCCGTACGGGGCTGCCACGCAGGATTTGACCCGGCCAGCCCCTGCCCTCACTCTGCGCCAGCTCACACTGCCTTCCCGCTGTCCCGTCCCTGCTGGCACAGCCAGGGTGCTGCACGGGGTCCCGGCGCGGGCAGCTCTCTCTCGCACAACTCGCGTTTGTCACTACATCCCTTCCGTGGGCCAGGCGGCCGCAGGCAGCCCCACACCAGCCCCAGCCTTCCCACAGCAGACGGGTCCTTTTCCCAGCCCCTGGCAGGCAGCTCCGGAGGACGAGGAGCTGGCAGACAGCCCTGCTGAAGGCCAGGGCACGTTGGATGGGGATGGCGCTGGTTTGACTCACTCTGGGGAGGTTCCCACCCAGCCAGCGTTCCCCACGAGATGCTCCACGGCAGAAACACCCCCGGGGAGTTGCACAGCTGGAGCCCCCCGCCCCGGGCACGGTGCAGGGCTGTGAACACCCGGACACGAGGCTGCTGTCACTGACCCCCGTTCACGGTGGGTGCCAGGTTGCCGCCGCGCTGCCACGGGCCGGGTCTCTCCAGGCCACGCTGCACCCAGCCCAGCCCTGATTTTGGGGACAGCAGCCCCGCCGCCGTGTCCCCACAGGGTGAAGCCACCACTGCCTCCCTCCACAGGTGCCTTTTCCCACACCCCAGCACCCACTGCCCACCCAGCACCCCCCAGAGGCCACTAATCGGGTGCAGGGCCAGCCCTGGGAGCCCGCTGCTGGGGTGGGTGACCCCCCCCCCCCCCCAGAGAAAGGGTGCACCCCATGTCTTGGGGTCAGGGTGCGAGAGCCCTCCCGTGCGTATCCAAGCTGCTGGTGCCTGCAGGCAGGAGGCTGCTCCATCGTGCTGATTTTAGGGTGTTAGGATGTGGTTTGGGTTTGGTCTCGGAAGTGTGAGGGTCCTGGGATGAGTTAGGTTTAAGGAAGAAGCCCAGCTCTGGGCGAAGGGCCGAGGGGAGGCCCCAGCGGTGCCACGTCGTGTCCCCTTCAACCCCCAGCGGGTTTTGGGGAGAGACCCGAGGAGATGCTTTTCCACCTTGATTGTTTGTGAGAGGACATTGGGAAAGTGTTGGAGAGGTGAGATTGGGGAAGTGTCAATCAGAGATGGAGACTCAGAGCAGCCGCACTGCCCGCTCCCGGCGCAGCACTGCTCCCACGGGGAGGGGGGGGGGAAGATGGGGGGTGATGGGATTTGCACCCCAGAGCCAGCCACGGTGATGCCGGGAGGAGCCGGGTGGGGACTGGCAGCAGCACCACTGGTGTCTGGGCCTGGGGGTTTGTAAAGCTGGGGCTGGGCTGTCCCGTAGCGTGGTAGAGACAGACCAGCCCGTCCGTAGGAATAAAGTACTCCGTGGTTTGGTAACTGACTTTTAAAGGGGGGGGGGGGGGGGGGGAAATAAAAAAATAAAAGGTGTCTGATTTGCAGAGCGAGTGCTGTGGTCTCTGTCCCACTGGGGCCTGCGCACAGGGAGCCCCACGTCACACCGCTGCCCCCCCGGGTGCAGACTGGGGACCCCCCAGGATTCCCAAAGAAGAAAGATGGGAACGGAGGTTGCCCTGAGCCGCCAGCCGCTGCCCTGCACCCTCCCCATCCTACAGCCCCAGTTCAAACCAGAGGCAGCAGGAGGTCCTGTGTCCCCACCCACGCTGCCGCACGGGGCGGGGGGCAGGTTCCCCGGTCAGGGATGGGGCCCTTTTCCGATGCCAACCCCTTGCCCCGAGCTGCACGGCACCAAACGCTGCCTGCCACAGCCCCCGGGCAGGGCCCTGCTCCCCACGCAACCCCTTGGCCCTTTCTTTTCCCCATTTCTGCTCCCCCAAATAAATCCTGAGCCCAACCCGCAGGATGGGAGCACCGCGGGGGGAGACGGAGCCTGAGCAGGCGGCAAATCCCGACGCTGCGGGATGGGACGGGACCAGCCACGTGCCAGGGGTGCCGGGACCCCACAGGGGCTGCCCCCAGCCCAGAGGGGCGAGAGACCCCCCCCCACCCCCTGCAGCATCCTGACCCAGGCCCCTCCAAGGCGAGGAAGGGAACCCAGGGGCGATTCAGCATGGAAGCCCCAGGAGGGATGGAGACCCCACAAGACACTCCCCCCGTGCAGGAGCAGGGGGGACTCAGCTGGAGGGACCCAGCACCCAGGACCTTGGTGGGAGTCTCGGGGCCACCTTCCATCCCTCCAGAGAGTGGGCGCAGCCCCCAGCACGGGGGAGCTGGGACCCCTTTCCCCAGGCCCACTGCAGACATCTGCCGGGGGGGGCTGCCGCTCGGGGAGGGGGCACTTCCAGCCCAGCGTCTTATTATGCTTCCTTCATGGGAAGAAACTTTTTCCTTTGCTGTCTGGTAAGCTGCTAGCAATCATCAGGCAGGCAGGTGGTAAAGATTCATATCCATCAAACAATGCCATTTAGTTTGTAACCTGTGACTAAATCTGGTGTTAGCTTTAATTTCAGAGTCTGCTTTAGGGCTTGCTTGTTAATCTCTATGCAAAGCAGATGAAATGAATATGCAGCATTTTGGATGTAATTGTACGGCTTCAATTCAGCACTATAATTTTCCAAACAGGATCTTGCAATCAAGCTTCTATTCATTAGTGTATAAACAATTTAGTTTCTCAGCTCTCCAGTATGCCAATCATCTCAATGGAGTGAGCATCTCCAACAAAAAGAGGAGGAAAGTTTCCTTTGTGTAACAGAGGTAAAAGTTGCTCCGTACTTCAGACAATTCCCGCCCGGCAGATCCGGGCCGTTCCCGCGGAGGCGGCCGGTTCCCAGCGCCCCACGCCACTGACCCGCTGCAGATGGCATCCCGGGGAGGGGGGGATGCCCCAGTGACCTCCCAGCCAACGTAGCCCAAGACCCCCCCCCAGCAATTCTGCACGTGAGACCCCAACAGACGAGCCCAGACCCCGCAGGATCAGGCCGCCTTGGAAAGGAGCCACCACACGGCACCTTGGCACTGCCCAGCGATGCTCGGGGGTCCCCGGGGGGGGGGGGGGGGGAGCAGCTCATGGCTCTGGGGAGGGGACGCCCACCCCAACCGCAGCTCCCCGCACCGCACGCCCCACGCCAGCTCAGCCTTCCCATCCCAGCCACTGGGACAGCCCTCGCCCGGGGCCAACGGCAGATCCCCAACGAGGGATGGGGCCCAAGGTTTGGTTTTGGGGGCTCAACCCCCTCACGCCTGGGTGCTTTCCCGGGCGGGGACCCAAGGGTGCTGCGCGCCCGCGGGCGCATCCGGCGCCCAGCCGCATCCCCATCCCTCCGCCGCTCCTCGGAGGCGAGCGGGGACCGGCCGAGAGCCTCGACAAAGGGAAGCGCCGTCGGCGGAGCCGCTCAGCGCGGTCTCCGTTTCCAAATGAATATCGACAGCGCTAATTACAGGCCGCCATGCAGACAGCTTATTAGCTTGTCACAAAAAGACGGTATTGAACTCAAAGCCCGCGGTATTCACAGAGCACAGCAAGACGCTCCCCAGACAGCACAGCGAACCAGGCAGGCGAACAACCTCCAGCAAAACTAATTACTTCCTGATTGTCTACGGCCACCCACTGGGTATAATAGTATAGACTAAATTTGGCATATACATAACTAAGCACTCGGCACCAATTTGGCGTACAATAATCATCCTCTGTGTGGCATAATTAAAATCTGATCACTTGGAATAATTATTTCATATTCCCGGTATCGGGTGAGGATTGCATAATGCGGCGTGGCAGGGGCGCGAGCCCGGGAGTGGGACTGTCCGTGCCCGCAGCCACGGGCCCCCCCGGGAAGGACGTTCCAGCTCTGGGCACGGCGAGGGACCAGCTCAGCGCCGGCTGCCGATCGCCCCGAGGGTGAGGTGCTGCGATGCCCCGAGGTTGCCGGCTGCGGAGGAGCTGGAGTCACCTTAACTCTGCCCATGCGCGGCGACGAGCCGGTGCTGAGCACCGACCCCGCGAGCCCTCCCCGGCGGGGAGGGACTGTACCCCCAGACAGCTTGGGACAGGCTGTCCCCAGGTCCCCAGGCAAAAACTCTCTGTATTGACCTTTCCAGGCAGGCTGCTGCCCCACTGCCCGCCCGACCGGGATGCTCGCCACCCGACCCCATTGTGCTCACGCGTCTGGTAAAAGCATTTGGAAAGACACGGCAATAAAAAAAAATAAAAATCAAGTGGAACGTGTGTGTCTAATCCATTAACTTCCTCTGGCAGCTCCCTGGGGACCCGGCAAGGAGGAGAAAGAATACGTGGATATTGCACGCGCCCTGGCACCTTGTCCCCAGGCCAGCCCCGCCACTGGCCGCTGCCACGGGCTCATAAATCACGGCGGGCGACAGCGTTTCACAGCTCGCTTCCCAGCCAGGATATGGCCATTCCTGCTGATTACACGGCCGGCGCGCGGGGGAAGCTGCATCTCCCACTTCCAGGAAGGGAGGCTCCGCAAGGAAAACGCATTGATAAAAAGAAGAACGAAATCAGCTTTGTTCCCATTGCGAATCTCCCATTGTTCCTGCTGCGGCCGTCGGCCCTCACTGGAGAAAGTATTTCCTCAGCGATAAATCTCCTGGGCTCCTCGCAGCCCTCGCCTTGGCACCCGACCCTCCTTGGGTTGTTTTGAAAGAAAAAGCAGCTTTTGCCACAGGCCCCCACCACCATGGGGTGTGCTGGGCAATCTATGGTGCGATTTTAGGGGACGAGGAAAGTCCCCAGGGTGGGGGTGGGGGGGCTGGTGACCATCCTGGGGGTCTCTGGCCCATGTCCCCAGCCAGAGCCACACCAGGGGACCTGCACTGCTGCTCCCAAAAAGCTTCACTCCAATCCCATTCCACAGAGCCCGTGGGATGCTCAGCACAGCACAACCCGGCGAGAAGAAATCTGACTGGGGCCACGCTAATGCCAGCACCGAAACGCAGAGCTTGGGGTGGCCAAGCACTTGAAATACAGGAGTCAGGCTGACAGTCATACAAGAAAAACAGATCGAGTTTCCCAGAAAATAGAGGCGAGTTGATCTGATTTTCATCAGCATCTTCAGCCGCTTTTCAGGAAGCCCCAGCCCGCTCCTCATTCCTGCTCTCTGCTTTACAAACCACTTAATTCCTTGTTGCTTTGGAAACCCTCACAAAGACCCTCTGCATCCCCCAAAATAACGAGCAACAGATGCTGCTTTGACCTCAGCAACTTCCTGGAAACATACATTTGTCAAAATAAAAATAAAAAGATTAATGTGAGGAAGGCTCTTAAATTATAAGGAAATAGCAGGCAGGGAGCCCGGCCGCACACGCCTGCCATTGGTAACAGCTGAGCCCTCAGACAGTGGAGAAACCTGGGGCCGGGCAGGGAGGGGGCTGCGGGACGGGGGTCCCTGCACCCCGGGGGTCCCTGCACCCCCGCTGCCCGCCGGACCCGGGACAGCCACGGGCTGAGCTGGCACCAGGGGGGTCCCTGCCCAGCCCCATCCACCACACCTGGAGGGGCTTCAGCTTGGGAGCGGCAACCCACAGGCCTACTTCAAGGCAGGTTTGCAAAATAGTTTGCGAATAAATACGAAAACCAAACGCTTTCAGCATGAAACCTACCCCTGAGCAACCCTCATCGCCATCCGCAACACGAGCGACACCGGGTGCAGGCTCGGTTCTCGTCCTCCCCCCCGCCCCCATTTCACAATTTACAGGAACAACTGGTCTCTTCTACAATTTTTAACCCCCCTTTGCTCACCCCGCAGGGGGAAGGAGGTGTGCAAACAACAGGTAACCAGGAATATTTTGGGTTTGAGCGCTCGAACGCCTGTAGGTTTCAACCTCACCCTCCGGCTGCAGCCACCTGGGCCGCGGGGCTCGTGTGTAGGCACGAGCACTTGCCAACAGCACGTGTAAGAACTGCCAAGGGGCAAGGGCTCATGTCAGGGCTCACAACAGCCACGCTGGTGGGTGACACAGCCCAGCCCAGAGCACACACACCCCACACCCCCCCCTGCAACCCCAAACCCACAGCACTCACCCCAGCCCCAGGCAGGCAGCGAAGCTCCACAGGCTCCAGGCAGGGGAAACCCTTTTTCCCTCCCAGCTTTATAGGATCAGCCAGAAACGAGCTGCTGGGAAGGGCTTCTGCTTGGCCTGGTGTGAGGTGGGCTGGGTGGTCCTGGGGGTTCGGAGCACCTGGAGCAGCAGAAGGGTCTTTGGGCATCATCCCCATCCCCAGCTCCATCCCCATCCACCTCCTGGTTGCACCCAGCTTTCTGCTGCTGCGTGACAAGACCTGACCGTGGGACTTGAGGGACCCACGAGGGTGTTTTCTCCCTGGGGACCCCATGCCCGGGCTGGGGGTGCACCCATCTCAACGAGAGGCTGCAGCGCCCTGGGTTGATGCTGCCGTGCAGCAGGCGCTGGTGAGCGGTGGGACGGTGTGCTGGGGACCGTCCCCCCGCGCCGGGGACGTGGCA